ATCACAAGGTCAGGAGTTCAAGACTAGCTTGACCAATATAGTGAAACCCCATCTCTACTAAAAATACATTAGTTGGGCATGGTGGCGTACACCTGTAATCCCAGCTACTCAGGAGGCTAAAGCAGGAGAATTGCTTGAACCTGGGAGGCAGAGGTTGCAGTGAGCCGAGATCGTGGCCCTCCACTCTGGCCTTGGTAACAGAGCGAGACTCTGTCTCAAAAAACAAACAAAGACCAAAAAAATCAGAGGTTGAAAACAGTAAGTTCTGCTGGGCACGGTGGTTCACATCTGTAATCCCAGCACTTTGGGAGGCTGAGGCGGGTGGAAACCAGCCTGGCCAATATGGTGAAACCCTGTCTCTACTAAAAATACAAAAATTAGCCAGGTGTGGTGGTGCACGCCTGTAGTCCCAGCTACTCTGGAGGCTGGCAGGAGAATTGCTTGAACTTGGGAGGCAGAAACTGAAGTGAGCAGAAATCATGCCACTGTATTCCAGCCTGGGTGACAGAGAGACACTGGGCAAAAAAAAAAAAAAGAAAAGAAAGAAAGAAAAGAAACAGTCAGTCCCAAACTGGGCAACATAGCAAGACCTTGTCTCTAGTTTAAAAAGAGGGATTTTTTTTTTTCCAACAATATAGTGAGATCTCATCACTATTAAAATAATTTTTTAAATCCACATGTGGCAGTACATGCCTATAGTCCCCAGCTACTTGAAAGCTACAAGAATCACTGAAAAATCAGAAGAGTAGCTAAATTTTTTTACTTCAAAAACGAACATTCTACTGTAAATTTTAGTTATTTTTGACATAATAAACTTTTCAGCCAGCCACTCCCTTTCTACCTCAGTTTATTAAGACACATTGAAAGAAAGCATGGAAAGGGACTATACAGCTGTAGGCCCTGGAGGTTCTTACAAGAGGGTATCAGGTACCAAAGGTCAATGGTATGAATAAAATAATATAGATCTAATTGGTATAATTAGTAGCTCAATTTTCAGATTCCTTCTTTAAAAAATATTTTAATAAGGCCGGGTGCAATAGCTCACGCCTGTAACCCCAGCACTTTAGGAGGCCGAGGCAGGCAGATCACCTGAGGTAGGGAGTTCAAGACCAGCCTGACCAACATGGAGAAACCCCGTCTCTACTAAAAATGCAAAAAATTAGCTGGGTGTGGTGGCACATATCAGTAATCCCAGCTACTCTGGAGGCTGAGGCAGGATAATCGCCTGAACCCAGGAGGTGGAGGTTTCGGTGAGTGCCTGGGCAACAATAACGATACTCCACCTCAAAAAATAAAAAACAAAAAAACCACAACAATTTAATACAAGTCAGGAAGTTACCATGAAGAATAAACATCAAAAAACAAACAAAAACAAAAACAAAAAACAGCCAAATTAAATTACTATTTAATAAAGTGATAGAATGAGGGAAATGGCTAAAATGCATTCCTAAAAAGAATTAATATATACAGCTGTGTAGTGTGAGAAAATAAAGAAAAAAAGAATCTATATGTTAAAATCTGAATAGATACTGAGATAACATTTTCATTCACTATGAAGAAGCTTCCCCTCCATAGCTCATTCTTAGTCAAATAATCATCATACAATATTTACATTTTATATCTTAGTCTTATAATCACAATTTTATAAATATTAAGCTATTTCTAAAATAGCCACAATTTTATAAACATTAAGATTGTTTAAAGTCTTGAAAGACCACAAGCTAAATCTAAACTTCTTAACATGTCACATAAAAGCCTTTAAACTTTGGAACAATACATACTTTTCTACTCTCATATATGATGAACCACTTTTCAAACATTTTTTGTTAAGATGTTTTTAACAAATCTTACTGTGAATGTTTAATTTTTAAAACTCTTCATAATTGGGATATAAACTATTTTCATAAGAAATGGGCATTCATATTTTACACAAACACATATACATTCTACCTCTATTAAAGAAAGAAGAAATATAAGTAACACTGGGCATAAAATAGAATAAATTTTAAAATAAAAGTGTCACAGAAAGCATCTCATTAAAAAAAAAAATCTTGAAATCTCCTGTTTGGAGAATTTGTTGCCTATTTATTTTAATGAAGATAATTTCTGTAACAAAACATTTTTCTTTAAACAGTAACAAACTAAACAGATCCCCTACAGGCTATTAAAAGTTGTATGATTTGTTATTTTCCATAATAAAAGATAGGTGGAAATGGTCGATAGGAAGTAGGCCTTAGGAATTACTAACCACCAAAATGCATTTGAATAAAAATGAAAACAACTTTACCCATAGTTTGTGGTAATTAGGGTAAATCTTACCCACTCCTATAAGCAGTTTTCCATTTTCCATTTACTTCATGGAATCACCATAGTACTCTATCCTCTTAAGAAATGTTTGTAAAACGCCAAGGGTCAAGCATAGTGCTTGGTACACAGAAAGGGGTTCAATATTTTTGAATTAACAAATTACTCAACGAATGAACACAATGGGCTCTCAAACCCTCCCTACTCCCCCTTAGGTTTGCTATTATGTCCATTATGTGCTTTGGCACCTCTCCATGTCAATCATGATGTATTTCCTTTCCTTTATCCCTAGAAAGGCCCTGGTTATTCTTTCTTCCTTTAGAGATCTAGAATCTATAATTACCCCTATCTCGCTTGAAACTCATTAAACAATAAAGGACACCCTTTTCCCTCGGGCCTTCCTCATGTCTCTAACATGCCTCTTCTGCAGCAGAGATTGAATCTAGTTGAACACGTTGTAAGATAAAGCGCCTGAAAGCAATTCTGCCTCCAGGTTATTTGAATTTCTCACCTCATTCCTACCTAACAAGTAATTTTGTTCCAAAACAGTTATCATTAGTGAGACGTCAACATATTTACACGTCAATCTACTGCAGCTATCTTCATAACAATGGGAGAAACAAAAAAATACTGAGCATCCTACCATGGGTCTCAAAAATCGAATTCAAATATTCTGTGTATAAAATGCCTGGACTGTCATTCTAGCACATCTATGATCTAGCCTAACAATTATATCGTTAGACTACAAAATAGCTTTTTCCTATGACATGTAAAACTCCATTAAAAATGAATTCTTCCCAGTAAAGTTTTCTATGGTGTCTAAAATTGCTGTGAATATCAGCTACACCTTTTACAATGATCTTTTAGCCAAAAAGCCAATTTTTTTTTGCAGAATCCTCACATATTTCAGTTATTTGTCGCCTATTTAGGCTGGGCCTAATAGCAAAACTGTTCCCCATTACTGAATTCAGAGAATTATTCAGGCACATGATTATTTCCTATCTTGATACTTCTGAGCATCCCAGCCTCTCGTTAATCTCCCTGGACCAGACAACTCCATTAGAATCCGGCCCCCACCTCTGTTCTGTCTTAACACTGCAGGAAGGACAAAAAACTTCAAAGCACTTTTTTTTTCTTTTTTGGGCTACCAAGAAGCCAAACTTTTGTACCTCTACCATTCAAAACCCCAATTCAACAAACTTTCACGGGAGTTTTTCCCCCATGTTAAGCAGTCAGGTACTAGAGATACACAAATAAAACACACTCTGTCTTCAAACAACCCAATGAGCAGAACATTCTCTTATGCAGAACCAAAACGCTGTAATAGTAAGATTCAAATGTGTAGAGGAAAAATTTGGTTGAGTGTATGACACTTTTTCTTTCTTTATAGTACAGAAAAGATAAGTCTGTAGAAAAAGGAGAAAGACAACTAGGTAGAAAATTTATTTCAAATATCTAACCCAAATCTTCAACAGATTTTCCATTATAAGTATTCCAAAAGGTGTACCATTGTATATTATACTAAATGTGGGTTCACTTATCACTTAAACTTTTTTTGAGCTAAAAAATCTCAAACAACATTTGGGAAGAAAAACAAGACTGATATACAAAGTCGTCAAAACATTTCAACTTTCTAAACTGTAGGCACTGGACTAATTTTTTGATATTCTAATATCTCCACATTTGAATTTGAATAGTCCACAGTGATAAATACTGGACTAAAATATTTGACATGGAACATATGCAAAACTAATGGCTAGTACTAAAAACACTAGAATGGGGAGAGAAAACCTGCAAGTGCCAAAACGTTTAAAAGCTCTTTCAGCCGGGCACGGTGGCTCAAGCCTGTAATCCCAGCACTTTGGGAGGCCGAGGCGGGTGGATCACGAGGTCAAGAGATCGAGACCATCGTGGTCAACATGGTGAAACCCCGTCTCTACTAAAAATACAAAACACTTAGCTGGGCATGGTGGCACATTCCTGTAATCCCAGCTACTCAGGAGGCTGAGGCAGGAGAACTGCCTCAACCCAGGAGGCGGAGGTTGCGGTGAGCCGAGATCCCGCCGTTGCACTCCAGCCCGGGTAACAAGTGAAACTCCGTCTCAAAAAAAAAAAAAAAAAGCTCTTTCAAATATCCCGAGATGCCTGCCGAATTAAGAACAAAACGTTTAGGGTTCCAAGAATACAAACTTTCATCTCTTTCAAGGCAACTGAATATTGAATCTCATTGAGATTATGAAATAAACATGTGCTTAACTCCTATTTGGCTTTCCGAACTTCACCACAGTGAACAGCCCATTCTTTTTCCTTGTTTACAGAAAATGCTCGTTTTGAACACAACTCAAAATGGAATTCCAGGCCCCAAAAGTCACTTTCACCCCCACAGGCAGCTACTTAACAGATAATAAGGGATTCAAGTGCAGGACCTGAAGGTCTTATTTCCATGCTAATTTCACAATCCCCGTTTCTTTCCTAGATACAAAAATTAAGATTTAAAAGGTGGCGGGAGTGGGGGACTTGGGGGGTTGGTCTGAGGAAAAAGTGAATTTCCCAAGAATTCCTAAACGGTTTTGCCTCTAACATTAAAACTAAGAAATTATCCAGCTATCAGTAGAATTTAACAGCTGAAACTTGCATTTGAAACAATTACTATGTTTCACTTTCTTTTTTCCTGGGGGCAGGGGATGGTGTCTTACCTACTCTTAAAATTTAACAGAGTAAAGGCTTCCCCTCCTCTCACACGGACAGGTTTCTTATCCCACATAATGAATTCAGTCACATGGCATTTCTTTCTCATCGAAGGCTATCGGGAATGGTTTTAGGAAGCAGATTTTCAAGCAGTGGGATCTTAAGCTGCAGCAGGTGCCGGGACCGACCGATGGAGAGTAGGCGGGCAAGACGCCGGGAAGCGCATTCCTTCTAAACCAAGCGCCAAACCGCCCTCCCGAAGCGCCCCGGGGCTTAGAGCATCACCTCGCTGTACCCGGCGGCAGGGAGGATGCGGCTAGACCCGGGCAGTGCGTGCTCCACACAGAGCCCAGCCCGCGCCAGCCCCTCCGCGTCCCCCGAGCCCCCGCCCGCGCCCCTTCTCCCCCAGCCCGCCCCTCCAGCCCGCGGCATCTGCGGGCGCTCGGAGGCGGCCGCCGGGACTGGGCCGGAGCGCCGCAGAACCCACCGAAACTTCCCAGGGATGCCAATTCAAAAATCGCCGGACCCGCCGCCGCCGCGCGCCCTCGGCTGGCTCCCCTCCGCGCGCCCGCAGCTCCGGTCTTCCCCGCCCTCAGGACCCCCCAGCGTCCCGCGCGGCGGGAACACGCCGCCAGGTGCCTCCTGGCCCCGGGGGCCGCAGTCGCACGTCCGCTCCCGCAGGGGGCCCCACTCTGCGCATCGCCGCGGCCGCGCGCCCTCGTGCACACTCACCAGCCCGAGCCGGGGCGGCCATCTTGGCGCTCACCCAGGTCCCCAGTCCCCCGGTTCGGCGGCCGCGGAGACCCGGTCCTGCGGCCACGACAGCGGTGACGCGCGGCAGGCCCCGCCCCCTCCGACGGCCCCGCCCCCGCGCCGGCTCCGCGGGGACAGCAAGGGCTGCCTACCCCGGCGGGCTTCGCACCTGCGGCGGCGGTCGGGGCCGGGGAGGGGAAACCCAGTGTGCCCTGTGTGCCTGTGAGCCGCAGAATCATCCACGGACGTCGTTAGTCCTTCCCGGAATTTCTGTGATTTATACAGCGTCGAATTGTTTGGGAGAAACGCTTGCCACTTCCGTTATCTTTAAAGCCTTCCCCACTTCACTTGCATAGAAATTCTCACAGAAAATGTTTCCTTCTTGAGATGACCCCTGGTGTAACTTTAGTGGCGATGACGGCTGTGAATTGGGCTTCCTTGCACAGCAAAAAGGCGAGAGAGGTTCCAGAACGGGCACAGGATAGGCACTGCTATCCAGAACTGCCTAACCCGAAATTGCCCATTTAAATAATGAGGTAGATACCGAAAAGAAAGAGAAGAAATAGATGGAGGGGAAATCTTCCAGGCAAGTCAAGGCTGAGGTACCTGAAAGTTAATCCATTAATATTTATTGGATTCTTTGTGCTCAGCTCGGAGCCAGATTGCCGTTTTTAGCTGAACCTATACTCAGTGATGCGCCAATTCTACTTTGGCCACCCTGTGGAGTATACTGAAAATGTGAAAACTGTCCTAGGAGAGCTTAAAAAGAGACAAAGATGCAAAGTTAGTAATACATCAATACAGTGCAAAATTTTGCAATATGTAAGACAAGCTATAAAATGGTTCTTATCTTTTAATCAACAATTTTATTATGAGTAGTATCTTTCAGTGGTATGAGCTGAATAAAGAAATGGGTGCTCAAAGGTATTCACAGCAAATTATCCAAACATTGAAAAACTGAAGGCGGGAAGGAGTGGGGCGGGATTCTAACTAAAAGGAAATGACTAATTAAGATCTGAGGTCGAGGCCGGGCGCGGTGGCTGACGCCTGTAATCCCAGCACTTTGGGAAGCGGAGGCCGGTGGATCGCTTGAGGTCACGAGTTTGAGACCAGCCTGGCCAACATAATGAAACCCGGTCTCTACTAAAAATATGAAACATTAGCTGGGAGTGGTGTCGGAAGTCTGTAATTCCAGCTCCTCGGGAGGGGGAGGCAGGAGAATCGCTTGAACCCGGGAGGCGGAGGTTGCAATAAGCCGAGATGGCGCCATTGCACTCCAGCCTGGGCAGTAAGAGTGAAACTTCATTTAAAAAAAAAAAAAAAAAAAAAAAAAAAATCTGACATAGTAACACAGGAAGTTCTTATGTTAACAAAATAGATAACAAAATAGCAAGTGTCTAATCAATTCATATTTGAAAAAATACCAAATATGTACGAAGGTTACAACTGCTTAAAATGTAGTCATGAAATAAAGAGTAAAGATAAGGGATAAATTTGCCTAGTTTAATACTCATTTCATTCTTTTTTTCTATATATTTAAGTGCATAATAATTCTGATTCAATAATGGCCCCAGTGTACTCCTCCCACTCAAAACATCTAACTCCTGTCTTGTACTTTTGTCCACCACCTGAATTCCTAAAATGCATTAAAAGTATTACATGTAGTCATCTCTTAAGATGAAAAATTTAAAATGTAAGTATTTCTGGCATGCAATAGGATTTTTCCTGTAATTCCTTGAAAGCAAAATATTGATAAAAGAAAAATAAACACTCTTGCGTTCCTATTATAATGCCATAAAACCATTCTGGAAGGTCATTTGGGAGATATGAAGAGTCTTAGTTTGCCTCCCTCCGATCTAGTAATTGGGAGAGGTCTTTTAAGGACTAAAATGATGTGAATAAAGGAAGAGAAAGAGTGAAATGGGAAGAAAAGCAAAGGCAAGCTGTGTAAGGGATAATGTGGAGAGTGCTGAACAGTGTCTTCAATAAACTGCCTTGAATACAATGATGTAAGCTAGGAAGAGGTGCGGAGTGGGAAGAGGAGAGACAAGAAATTCTCGTTTCTAATGTTAGTAATTAAGGAGCAGATGTTCGTAGTTTAGCCTTTTTTCATTCTTATTACTGCTTATTTCAACTTTGAAATTTCCTCAGCTACCATTTTATTCCTGATCCTCACTACCTAGGCCTTAATTATAGCATGCTCTAGCTCATTTCCTGAGCTCCAGAACCTCTCTATTGCAAATTTATTTTTACATAACAATCATCATCATTCTTCCCCTTAACTTTTCCTGTTTGTATTTTCCCTGTCTCATCGAATCTATAGTTTTTTACTCTAACGTTAAAAAAAAAAAAAAAAAAAAAGCCTCCTTCCCTGCCCACCTTCAATGATGTCCCCAGACTTACCTATTAAAACCTCAAAATCAATCTTTCCCCAGGTCGACCTTTGGACACTCAGAAGCCAGTCCTTGTATGACCTCTCACTTTTCCACCACGGGAGACGTTGATCTCCTAAGTGGAAACCCTGGCCGCTGCCTCCAGTGGCCTCCTGCAAATCATTACAAATCAACCTCTTTCAGGTCTGGCTTAAACTCTCACCTCCTGGAAACCGCTTTCCTGAAGTAACAACCGGCATGCAGCTCCCCATCCCCCACCCCCAGCAGTGCCTTATTATGCAGTCACCGCTTTTGTTCCGAGTTCCGAGCCTGGGTCTATTTGCATCGTAACCTCTTTGGGGCCGGGACTCTGCACTTGCTCCCTTTCTATACCTCAGTTCCTAGTACCGGCCAAAAACACTGCTGAAATGCCTAAGGAGTCAACTAGAAGTTCCTTAGCATAATATGGGGGCGTGGAAGTGATGTTCAGGGGGGCTTCCCTTGCGTCCCTGGTGCCCAGAAGACGAGAAATGGCAATTTGCCCTTCCAAGGTAAGCAGCTTCCTAAACTAGATAAAATTTTAACGATTCTGAAACCTAATGAGTGTGTAACTCCTCGATTCTAAGGTACAACACAAACTAGTTTTGCTCCTTGTATCCTGAGAGAAGATTATGAATGAATTAAAAGAAGACAGAACATGGTAAATTTCATAAACCTCCGAGTGGCTTTTTACGCTTTATGTCGGTTTTTAGAATTTCGTAGTACAGTCTTTCATGAATAGAAGAAGATTTCAGGAATTGCAATTGCAGACTAAAAAATGTATGAGCTTTTTAAACTTTAGGAATCGACTTTTAAGAAATTTCATTTTACAGACAGTGCTGTTAACTGAGATTCATTTAACATTGGTTAAATGAACATTTGAACACCTACATGCCCGGCACCGTGCTAAGACTGGAGATATTCATAGCCTTCATTTCAATGGTTAGGAGATGAAGGATTGAGCGGAGGAAGTGGGTAAAGTAACGCTAAAGAGCTTAGCCCTAAACTTTGATTAAGGTGTTGCAACACACTTCTGTTGAACTTTTTAAATGAGAGGAACCCAAACGACCTTAAATTTATCGCAGCTATGAAAGAAAGGAGTAGAGAGAGTCGTTTGGGAAAAAGAACGTCGGATGTAAGATGTGGTCTCAGTGAGTGAACAGAGAGGAAAGTGAGTAGAAGGGGCGATAGGATTCGCCTTTTTTCTTTTCCTTTTATTTTTCTTCTTCTTTCTTCTTCTTTTTTTGAGACAGAGTCTTGCTCTGTCGCCAGACGCCACTCTGGAGTGCAGTGGCACGATCTCGGCTCACGGCAACCTCCCGGGTTCAAGCAATTCTGCCTCCGCCTCCCGAGTACCTGGGACTGCAGGTGCGCGCCATCACACCCAGCTAATTTTTGTATTTCAGTGGAGACGGGGTTTCACTATGTTGGCCAGGATGGTCTCCATCTCTTGACCTCGTGATCCACCCGCCTTGGCCTCCCAAAGTGTTGGGATTACGGGCGTGAGCCACCGCGCCTGGCCTTTTTTCTTTAATTCTAAGAATGAGGATGGTACCAGGTAAGGAAGGTGAATGCCAGCTGAGTAGATAGTACCAAAGTTGACTTGCTTTTAAAAGACGATTATGTAATTGGTGGTGTGCCAGGGAAACTTGTACCTTAGAGGTGAATTTCCAACATAGGCCTACTGGAAATTGAAATGGAGCCCCAGGGTTTAGGTATTAATGGAAGCAAAATTGTGAAGAGAGCCAATTTCTCTCCCCTATTAAACATCCACTCCACCTCCACCCTATACTCAGTTTTACAGGGATCCTCAGGCTGCTGTGTCTAGGGCTTTATTGCAATCTGTCTCTCTTCCCTTCCATCAAAACTTTTCCCATTTTGTTCAGGACAGCTAACCCAAACTTTCATTATCTCTCTCTCTCTCCCTTTTTTTAAATGGAGACAGGATTTTGTTACCAGACTGGAGTGCAGTGGTGTGATCATGGCTCTCTGCAGCCTTGACCTCTCAGGCTTAAGCAATCCTCCCACCTCAGTTGCCTGTGTAACTAGAACCACAGGCATGTGAC